TGGTATGTGACTGTCAATCATTGCCTCAATTCTTATTATCCTGGTGATTGTCAACAGTGCTATTGTATAATTTTCACTGAGTGTCTTTGTGTCATAATGGCAGTAATTTGTGGTCCCAGGATTTGTCTTAAATAATGATAACAGTGGAGCTCCATGTTGGAATCAGTGCTGGACCCTTACTCTGTTGGGCACTAGGTTCCCTTCTGGCTGGTGGGGTGTCCTCCATTCCCTCCTCATTCTGGGGCTGACCTCTTCAAGGGGCTTTCTTGGAGCATGCCATCTGCATAGCCCTATGTGGGATCCTATAGCATTTTTCACCCAAACTTATCCCAGAGTCCTGGGGTGTGGACTTGGAAAATTCCTGGGACTGCCCTGGGATGGAAGCCTGAGGTGAGCCAGGGTAGGGCAGTTGCATGTGTGGTATTTTTTGTTGTTTTAGTGTGTGTGTGTGTGTGTGTGTGTATGTGTATGTGTTTATGCCAGTATGGGTCTTGAACTCAGGGCCTGGGTGCTATCCTTTAGCTTTTTCCACTTAAGGCTGGTAATCTACCATTTAAACCACAGATCTGCTTACAGATTGCTTGCTTGCTCTCTCTCTCTCTCTCTCATTCTTCCATTCTTCTATTCCTCCTTCCTTCTTTCATGCCAGTCCTAAGGCTTAAACTCAGGGCCTGGGAGCTGTCCCTGAGCTTTTGTGCTCAAGGCTAGCTCTCTATCACTTGATAACTCTCTATCTGCCTTTTTTGGTGGTTAGTTGAAGATTAAGAATCTTACGGGCTGAGCACTGGTGGCTCACGCTTATAATCCTAGCTACTCAGGAGGCTGAGCTCTGAGGATTATGGCTCAAAGCCTGCTCAGGCAGGAAAGTCCGTGAGACTCTTATTTCCAATTAACCACCAGAAAATCAGAAATGGTGCTGTGGCTTAAAGTGGTAGATTACTAGTCTTGGGCAGAGCTGAGGAATAGAGCCCAGGTCCAGAGCTTAAGCCCCACGACTGACCCCCCCCACCCCCACAAAAAAAAAAAAAAAAAGAATCTTACAGGCTTTTCTGCCTGGGCTGATTTTGAACTGGGACCCTCAGATCTCAGCCTCCTGAGTTGGTAAGATTACAGGGTGATCACCAGCACCCATTACAGTGGTATGTTTTGGATGAATGGGTCCAGCTAGGACTCTAAGGAAAGCAGGGAATGAAACTGCCTTAGTACTTTCAGGTCCTCAGATGATGCAGGATAGGGACAAGGTTTCAGTCTCTCTCTCTGTCCCTCTCTGTCTCTCTGTCTCTGTCTCTGTCTCTGTCTCTCTTTCTCTCCTGGTCCTGGCTTGAACTAAGGGCCTGGACACTGTCCCTGAGCTTTTTTTGCTCAAGGCTAGAGCTCTACCACTTGAGCCACATCTCCACTTCCAGCTTTTGGGTGGTTCATTGGAGATAAGACTCTCATGGACTTTCCTGCTCTGGTTTGCTTTGACCTCAATCCGCAGATCTCAGCCTCATGAGTAGCTAGAATTACAGGCATGAGCCACTGGATCCTGGCTCAGTTTACTTTTATCCCCTGGGGCTGTGCTCCTAGATCCCTAAAAAATCTCTCTAGCCCTAGATGGGCCCCACATCAGTTCTTGATGCACTGACCATCTCTCTCTCTCCAGCTAGAGGAGCTGAGTGGGCTTCCTCAGATGCTTTGGGGGTGGACAGAGACCCTTTGGCTCTCTCTCCTCCCTCTGGAATGCCTGACATCCTTCATGTGCCTCGTCTTCTTCCCTGCCTCTATTCTTCCATTTCTGTCTCTGATTCTCCTGGTCCCTCTGGGTCTCTACTCAGCGCTCTACCCCTCTCTCTGCTCCCCTCACTTTTGCCCAGGCTCTCTGCCTTTTCTGGGTGCCCTGACCTGCAGAGTCTGTCTTGGTCCCCACCCCCACTCTGCAGCTCTAGCTTGCTCTCAGCAGCGTGTCTCCTGTGGCTGCAGCCCTGTTGGCCCAGGGCCCGGCCCTTACAGTAACTCATCGGGCTGATGGAGGCGACTTTGATGAAGAAGCTACTCCTCCCCCACAGAGGCCTGAGTTGAGTGTGTGTGTGTGTGTGTGTGTGTGTGTGTGTACAAGTCCATGGGGGTATTGCTGTGTACATGCCTGGCCATCTTTCCCCTCTAACCTGGCTGAGACCCAGAAGGATCAGGGAGCAGAGGCTCTGCCTTTCTCTTCTGGCACTTCCATCCTGTCAGCTAACCTTCATCCACACTACCTGCTTGTCTGCTGTCTAAGCACTGGTTCATGCTTCTATGTGGTGGACAATGAACCTGGCCTGTTGGTGGCAGGTGTTCCTCATCGTGAGGAGAAAGGCATGGGCAGATGGTAGAGATTGAAGGGGAAGGTCTGAGGGCTACTGGCAAGGGCTGAGGTGCAGAAGCAGGTAAGTTCTCTAGAACCAGCTCTGAATTCAGAGCTTCCTAGCTTGCTGCTGTATGACTTTGATTGTTGTCTTGAAACTCCAAGGCCTGAAGAATAGCTAAAGATGAGGAGTGGCTGAGGATCAGAAGGAGTTAGACTAACTGGTACGTAAGGCCTCAGGAGTCACTTAAGCAGGAATAGTGTCCAAGGCCACATGGGCAGAGGGATGATCCCCTCCCCAGAAGAGAGACAGAGCATCTGAACTGTGACCATGTGAACAAGCAGGTTCATAGAACTTTCTAGACTTTTTCTGGGATGGGTAGAGAGTAGCCAAGGGCAGCGGGGAACTTTTTCCCCTTCTCCCCTTCTTCTCTCAGCAAGTTTGATTTATTCTGCCCTCCACCTCAACTGCTACAGGTTGACGCCCACCTTTATCTCCTCACCGCTATATCCTTGTCTGTACTGACGCTAGCTTTTATCTGCAGTTTGTGTCTCTGGCACTTTCTCAGGGTGTATCTGGCAGTGTGTCTCTGTCAATTACTCTGGCCGTGGGTCTGGCTGTCTTTTTTCCTGGCAGTATTTCTAATGGTGCCTCTGATTGTTTTGCTGAGAGTGTTTCTGTCAGGGTGTTTGGCTGTGTGTCTGATGGTATCTCTGGCAATGTTTTTAGTGGTGTAGATACTTCCTGACTGAGCATCTGGCTGTGGTTCTGGCTTTTTCTGTAGCTGTTTGTCTGGGTGTACGCCTGTGTCTCTCAGTTCCTCTGGTATTTCTCTGCTTGTATGTCAGACAGTTTCCCTGGAACTGTTTCTGACAGTATCTCTAGCTCTGTGGCTGTGTCGCTGATGGCTTCTTTGCCTGTTTTCCTTGCTTGTCCTCTGGATGTATCTGCTCAGGTATGGCTGTGTTTTACAGTGTTTCTGGCAATTCCTTTTATTGTATTGACTGTTCTCTGACCATTTCTCCAGTTATCTGGGTATACCTACTTTTGTCTGATGATTTCCTCTAACAGCTCTAATATGTGTGTGAAGCAGTGTCTCTGGCCAGTATCTTTGCTCTGAGGCTGACTGAGTCTGACTGGGGACCTGGTTAGATTATCTAGTAGTGTCCCTTGTCTCTGTATCTCTGTTTCTGTGTGATTGACAATCCCTCTCTTTCTCTCCTCCACTGGGGAGGAAAAGTTGTCATTTGGGGCAATTTCTGTAGGAAATAGTTGCTTCCTTGCTCTCAGGTATGAGTGTATGCTAGATCAGGAGTGGGAGCAGTAATACCCTCCCAGGAGGCATGATTCCGTACGGTGGCCCCTGAACCCCTTCTGGCTTCTTGGGAATGCATCCTCCGGGTACTATGTACTTGCATGGATGCAGATAGACACTATTATACCTCTGCTAGTGGGAGTACCAGGCTACTGGGGAGCATGTAGCTAGGGTGAAGAAGGGCCTGAGGTCCCTGATAAGGACTGAGCATATAAAAACGCCTCTGTTTTCTCTTGCACAATAAAGCAAAAGCCACATCTAACCTAGCTCATGTGCCACTGCCCGGGTGCTCTGTGTTGTTCTTAACGCAGTGGCCAGGCTCCCAACAGGATGGCTAGGGACTAACAAGAGATCCAAGGACTCCTGAGCATCCAGGTTTCAGATTTTATCCCCATGGGCACAGCAGGGGACCTTACATTCAAGGCAATTTAGAGAAGTACAGAACTCCAATTAAAACATTACTCTTGCACAGAAATGGAGGGACAAAGGGTGAAAAACACAGCAGTGGCACTCAAGAGACACTGTGTTGAAAATGAACTATACAACATGTGGGTAGAAGGGAAAAACTGGGAAAGAGCAAGGAAAGAGGTGACATTGTCCAAAAAGAAATGTACTCTTTACCTGACTTATGTAACTGCAACCCCTCTGTACATTACCTTTATAATAACAATAAAAAAGGAACAACAACAACAAAAACCCATTACTCTTGCACTGGTGACATGCCTATAATCCTAGCTAGTCAGGAGGATGAGATCTAAAGGTTGTAGTTAAAGCCAGCCTAGGCAGTAAAGGTCTGTGAGACCCTTATCTCCAATTAACCACCTAAAAAAAAAACCAGAAGTGGAATTGTGGCTCAAAGTGGTAGAGTACTAGCTTTGAGCAAAAAAAAACTCAGGGACAGTGCGCAGGCCCTGAGTTCAACCCTAAGACCAACAAAAAATAAATTTAAAAAAATTATTCTTTCATTTTGTAATGTTCATAGCTAACTAGCCAGCCTCACCAGTAAAGTGTATATGTGTGACAGAGAGAGAGAGAGAGATTAGAAAAAATGGCCCTGGCATTACCAATATTCTATAAGTCATCTGTGGTTGACCCTGTACAGCTAGAAGTCTTATTGAACAACAAACCACTATAGGTTGTTTTCTATTATCTTAGCTAACTTTTGCCTATAGATACCAATAATGTTGTTTTCCATTGCTTGGAAGAGGATCCTGAGCCCCTATTAAGTAGGGCATTTGGGGTCAAGATGTCCTGACCCCAAATGGACTGGGATTTCCCAGTCTTGCCTGAGAACAGGGGGCTCCCCAGGAGGTTCCTGCTTGGGCTGATGCTGCCTCTTCCCTCATTGTTTCTTCCAACAGATGGCTGCTCCTGTCCCGTGGGCCTGCTGTGCTGTACTTGCTGCTGCTGCTGCTGTTGTCTACACCCAGAGACACAGTCCACAGGGTGAGTAATTGGGAGGAGCTGTGTGTGAATCCTCATTGGCATAGCTGCACACGGATACCACCCAAGAGTCACATTGGCACTCAGTGGCATTGTCACCCCTGGGAACCCTGAGGGAGATGTCATGTGACATTGAGATGCAGGGTGACCCATGGATATCTCATAGACACAGCCTTCCACAGTTACGCCTGGGAGGTCACATGCTACTCAAGCTTCTGGCTTGAAATGTTCTGTCTCTGTTTTCACTAGGGAGGGTTAAGGTTGGGAATGGGTGGGATAGGAGTTGGGAGTAGAGCTAGGGGCAGTGCTCTAGTGCAGTTTTTGAGCAAAAGGGGATATCTCCTTCAGGAGATATGCGGGGGGGGGGTGCAATTTGGGGCACTGATAAGAGGCCATGGGCAAGCCTGCTGGTCACATTCTACTCTCAGTCTTGTCCTAGAGGAAGATGGGAACAGAGCTGGTGGGACAGGCAGGGGAACAGATGGGAAAGGGTTGTTGGTATCCTAAGGATGAGATGCAGTTAGCCAGAATGACGGAAGGACAGAGGGACTGCTCAGGGCCAGGACTATTGACCGCCTTACTGTTCTTCTTTTACCTTTTTTGTCCAGTGAAGTCTGAGTCTTTCCCACAGCCCATAAGACAAGGAACTGGCCCCCTGCTGGGGAAACATGGGCCCTCTTCACATCAGTCCCTCTACTACATTTGAGGCAGCACCTCAAACAACCGTGCCATAGGTCTGAACTTGCTTCAAGTCCTTAAGGGTCCCCATTGGGGAAAGTGTCAAAGACAAAGGGACTTTCCCAAGTCCACTCTGGCTGAGATGGGTAGAAACAGGGAAGGAAGGGGGCATCTCCAGGGCTCAGGTATAGAGAGGACCCTGATAGTTGAGCTCTGCCATCCTTCCAAGCTACAGGTGTCAGAGGGTAGGAGGTGAATGCTTCTATTGCTTCTTTCTTATGAGACCACAAGGAGGCCCAGAGAGAACCTAGGTGGACCTAGGGATGCTGACTGGACCTGTCCAGGACCTGCCGTTGCTTTCTACCATTGTGTGCAAAGGTCTCTACCTACGCATAGAGGGCTGCACATGGCCAAGGCCCTGGCATAAACCCACGTCTCTGAGTGTATGAGACTGTTCCCTTGTGCATGTAAGGGCATGCCCCTGCTCAAGGTGGTTTCTCTATACGGCTGTATCCTTGTTGGGCTATGCCCACATGCGTGACATTGCCTGTATGGACGACCATACTCTTTTAGGGCTGTATTCTTGTGTTTGAGGCTCTACTCCACATGTGATAGCTTCTTTGTGTGTTTGTGTCCCTGCTAAACTACATCCCTGTGTAACTTCCTGTCCTCACCAGGTGTAACTGTGCCTCTGGGTGGCAGTGGCCTCCAATGCATACATGTCATTGTGTGTCAGGTGTTACCATCCCTGAAGTCTGGTCCAATGCCCTTATGTGCCTGAATGAATGTGTGATTGTAACCTTGTCGATGGATGATTGTCCCATGAGTGCTTCTTCTTTGTGGGCAACAGTGTTCATCCTGTGTATGTGGTGTGAAGTGCTTAGGATGCCCTGGGGGGGGGCTGTTTCCGGCATGTGGTCCCCATGTGAGCCTGTGCTCACAGGTGTGAGGGGAGCCGTCAGCTCTGTCCCTCTGTGTTCTTCATGTCTATGACCTCATCCTGTCTCTGTCTCTCATCCTGGCTTCTAACAACCTTTTCACAGCTGATTCCTTTGGAGCATTTGTCACCATGTCAGGGCCAAGAACCCCATCCTCCCCCTGCTGCTTGATTTAATTTCTGAAATGGACAGCACATCAGTAGGGGCACCCAAGGGGCGGGAGGAGAGCTGTCCAGAAACAAAGGATTAAACCACAGCCCTCTCTGAAGCTGTTGTATGGCTGTGTGTATTTCCATTGCTGTGTTATTGAAGCTCTTGTGATCATCATGTCGTGTTGCCCCTTCTGCTTCTGCATTATGGCTTATAGTTTTCTTTGTCGTCATGTTGTCTTTTTTTCCCCTTCCTGTCCTATCCTTCTATCTTTGGATTGTCATTGTTGTATGGTTGTGTTTCTGTTTCTTTTGTGAGACAAAGCATGTTATTCCAATACTGTTGTATTTGTTGTGTTGTTGGTTTGCTAATTCCTCATCTGTGGCTGTACCTGTCTCCCAGTAAAGGGCCATACTGAGTCCATGTTAGTTCTGAGCCGTTGTTGGTCAGTGCTGATGTGTTGCCTATGGACCCTGATGGCCACACCCCCTCCTCAACGGTCAGTTTTCAGCTTCTTCCTTAGGCAGCTGGATGCAAAGTCTCTGTGGGGGGGTTGCAGAGAGGGGCTTGGCATGTTTCCTGGAAGCTCCAGGTTTTTGGAAGGGAGACTGGAAGGGGGCTCAGTGGCCGGAGCTTGTGTATTGGTGGGGGGGGGGGGGGAAATGACTCGATGGCCTGAGTTTTGGACACTGGGCCTCTTGGTCAGGGGGAGGCCCCATTCAGCCTCACAGCTGTGGCCTCCAAGGCCCCCAGCCACCGCCCTTCCGCCCCGTTCATCCTCTGTTCGGCTTGTCCCAAGCTCCACAGACAAGTGGTCAGGGCTGGCTGGGTTTCCTGCTTCCCTCTCCTCTGACAGGGACAGAGAGGCTCAGAGAGGGGCAAGGCAGAGACAGGCAGAGAGGGAGAAAGACACTGGAGACACAGAGACCCTGGCTCAGGAAGGATGACAGAGGCAGCAAAGAGGGACAGATGTTCCAGCACAGAGCAAAGCAGCCCTGGGGAGGGGGCTGGACCGAGGGGGAGGGGCAGCTGAGGGGCTCAGGGGGCTCACTGCCCCCCCCAGTCCTGGTGGTGTTAACAAGTCTAATTAAGAGGCCACTGGCCCAACTTAATTGGCTCGTTAACAGGAATTGCCTCTGAAAATCCCCCAACTCAGCGGGGTGGCTCTCTGGAGGGGAGATGTGAGCGAGTGTTAACGAGGGATCCCGCAGCCCCCCTTACTGCCCCTTCCCTCTCCCTTTTCCCCTCCCACCCTCACTCCACAGATCTGGCTGGGATGAGGGAAGCATCTGTCCTTCCAGGCTCAGGGGGCAGGATGAGAAATGCGCGTGGTGTGTGTGTGTGTGTGTGTGTGCGTGTGTGTGTGTGTGTGTGTGTGTGTGTGTGTGGTCACTGGCTCTTCATGCCTACCTCATGGCGGCGGCTGGTGGATCTGCCTCTCTGACTTGTTCTGTCCCATTCACTGCTGCCTCCCCCACCTGGCGCTGCCTCTGGACAGGTGCTCCCTTCCACTCTTCTGTCTCCAGTCTCCTGGGCTCAGTCCATCACGCCTGGGTTGCTGAGGCCAGGGCTGAGGTTTGCTTTGGCTCTGACAGGCCCCTCCTGGGGGCAGGAGAGGAATGGTCAGAGCATTCATTCAGTCCCAGCCTCCTAACCCCCGAAGTAGTTCTTGCCTTGCAGAGTTGACAGCTGCCAGGAGTTCCCTAGAGCTCACTTTAAGGCCTGCCCTGTCTCCCTTCATCCCAACTCTTGCAGAGAGTGAGAAGGGCTTGGGCAGAATTGAGTTGAGGTGAGGGTGAAAGAGATAGACAGTCAGACAGACAGTGAGTGGCACCCCTCAGCACCAACTTGCCTAAGTAACATGTTAGTGGCTGGGGCTAGCTTGTTAGTAGCAAGAGGATCATAGGAATCAGGAAACTTTCTGAAGAATTCAGGGACTGGGTAGACCCAGGTTGGAGGAGAACTGGATTTCCACTGGAGACTAGATCCTTCCAACCTCTCTCTCTCCCTCCCTCCCCCCTCTCTCTCCCTCCCCCTTCTTTCTCTCTCTCTCACACACACAGCCCCCTTGTACATGTACACACATACAAAAATGAAAACACTCAAACCTGCATACTTGCACAGCTACAGAGTTTTGCACAAGCCCACCTTCATAGGCTTATGGACACTCACATGGTCAGCCACAGAACATCTCTGTGACTCTCACAGAGTCTCATCTACGCACTTGCATCAGGGGTTGTTAGGCAGAGCTCTGACTTGTAAATTTTGTCCTGTGCCCCCCTACCCCTGCAGAGGTACCCCATGTACAGTATGAGCGACTGGGCTCCGATGTGACACTGCCCTGTGGAACAGCAAACTGGGATGCAGCTGTGACGTGGCGGGTGAATGGGACGGATCTGACCCCTGACCTGCTCAACGGCTCTCAGCTGGTGCTCCGTGGCCTGGAACTGGGCCACAGTGGTCTCTATGCCTGCTTCCACCGTGACTCCTGGCACCTGCACCACCAAGTCCTGCTACATGTGGGCTGTAAGTGTTGCCCCTGACCCCTTTTATGACCTCTCAACCTCCTCCACACCCAGACCTCTAGACCAAATCAAGTTCTCTTTTGAGTAGGAGGCAGGAGAGGAAAAGAGGATGTGCTTCATTAGGATCTGAGGTTTGCTAGAATAACCAAAGATGAGAATTTGTAGGCAAACAGTTTATTTGACAGGCGATGAAAACTCCATAAAGGAATGGGAAAGTTATTAGAAAAAAGAAGCTAAGCTAGCCAAAGTGCATGAGTTATTAAGATGATGTTCCTTGACAGCTAGAGGTATTTTTGAAGGAGTTCTGGGTACAGAGAAGGAAGGCTTACCTCAGAGGCATAAAGGAGCTGGAATTTTTGTATGTTCATTCCTGCCATTATTTGTGGAAGGATTCTCTTGACATGGGAGGTGGTGCCTTAATTCCCCAGAATGTTTGGCCTGATACTACAGCAGGCAAAGCAGGCCTTGGTGACTGGAGAAAGCTCTTAGATAAACTGGGCACCAGTGACTCACTTCTGTAATCCTAGCTACTCAAGAGGCTGAGATATGAGGATCACTGTTTAAACCTAACCCAGGCAGGAAAGTTTGTGAGACTCTTCAATCAACCACCAGAAAAATGGAACTGTGGCTCAAAGTAATAGAGTGCTAGCCTTGAGAGACAGAGCTTAGGGATAGCGTCCAGGCCCTGAGGTCAAGCTTCTTGATAGAACAAAGAAAAAAGAAAGAAAGAAAGAAAGAAAGCTCTTAGGCAAATTACTGTAGAAGTTGGCAAGGAAATTGCAGCTCCATAGATGTCTTCCACAGATACGGTGGATGGAGAGTCTTTGGGGAACAATTGGGACTTGGTGACTGGTAGTAAGTGGATGAGAGGGTTTAGGGTGAAGGGAGAAGCTTGTGCTGGAGATAGACATCTGGGCGGTTGTCAACTGTATGACTGTGACCGAGGGGTGAGATGGGCAAAGGAAAGATGGTGGGATAAGATGACCTAGAACTGTGCCCTGAAGACCATCCTCATGTAAAGGATTGATGAAAAGAAATGAGCCACAAAAAGAGTGAAGGAAGAGCTGGTAGGAAGGTAGAAGACCAGGTAAGTAGTATGATTTAGGAAAGTGGTTTAAAGAAGGCATAATGATGAAATAAACATTGACAGAGGCACCCACTAACGCAATAAATACTCAGAAAGCCTGTTCCTTTACTCTTGAGCCAAAGATTCAAGCTCCTCTGGGCTAGTTACATTTGGGTGTGTTTTACCCCACAGCTGAAAGATAGTTCCTTTTGTTCTCTGGAAGCTACCTAGGAGACAAGAGGATCTGTCCCCCAGACAGACCCATTGTTAGACCCATTGAAAGGTTCTTGTCCATTGTCAAGAGACTGTACAACCCTGTGAGATGTTAGACTGAAGAGTTGCCCACAAAGTACTGACCCACCAGTGGGAATGAATGAGATACACAAAAAATACATTTTGGTAGGATGTACCTTTCCTCAAGGAAATGTGCTTGAATTGAAGAGATGGCATTCACGCTCTTCAAGTTGCAAGCCAAGGGTGGAGTGACCCCTGTTGGTCATATCAAGAAATGCAGGACCAGCTTAACTGAATCCTCCCTTGCCCACCATGGGGAGTCAGTCCATCATGAGTGAAGCAGTTAGTTTAGCTCCAAGGCTGTTTACTCAGTGTGTGGAAGAAGGATGGGGCCATCTTAGCATCCACCAGTCATTCACACCCTTGTATTCTCAGCTAGGCTCCCCAAAGTCCTCCAGATGGATAAGGTTGGCAGTGATAGTTGCTTAATGATCCTAGGACTCTTTTCCTGATGTTATGCTCTTCTTTGAGAAGAAGCTGGAGGGGAATCCGGTCTTTTAAAGTGTCTATAATCCCTAACAGCAAGTCATACTCACAGCTTCCCTGTCGTGACCAGAGCCCAGATCATTTAGATACAGTGCTCACTACTCTCTAAGCCTCACCCCTCAGGGGAAGACTGGCCATGCATTGCCAATGGCATTTGTAACAGGTACTTATCTCTCATTGCCTTATTTCCTTCTAAAGTCCTGGTCAGAGGAACAGGGGATATTAATCACGATCATCTCAGTCATTTTATATTAGTAACAAGGGACTGGGTTTGGCAACACTCAATATCAAATTATCTTTCTTGCCAGGTACCAGAAAACAGGACTAAGTTACTTCTGACTTGTGGATCATTCAGACCAAAAATTATTTACTATTTATACTAAATATGTAAGATTTTTTTTTTTTGTCGGTTGTGGGGCCTGAACTCTGGGTCTGGGCGCTGTCCCTCAGCTCTTCAGCTCAAGGCTAGCGCTTTACCACTTGAGCCACAGCACCACTCTGGGTTTCCCTGCTTATGTGGTGCTAAGGAATGGAACCCAGGGCTCATGCTTGCAAGGCAAGCACTCTACCACTGAGCCACCCTCCCAGCCCTGTAAGTTGTTTTTGTGCATATGTTTCAAAGGGAACCTGGTCATAATGATACTCTGTTGGAAGTCTCCTTAGCCTGAGAGGTCCCTCACTGCTTCCTCCCTGTTTACCTTCTTGCCTTCAGGTAGATTCTTATACAGCTCTAAGGACTCTCCTACTGAGGGTGACGAAAGGACCCCCACATTAGGAAACAGGATCACAATGTTCCTTTTAGTAGCATCGTTTTGTTTACCAGACACTGCTGATTCAGTATCATTCTGATTTTAAGCTAAAACAAACCAGAGATTAAAATAATTTTAAATGGACTGTTTCTTGTCCAGTATTTAATTTTTTTTTCTTTAAGAGTGGTCAGGATAGAAACTCCACACTGGTTCAGCACTGCTTCCTCCCTAGCCCTGCTTGGCTGGGAAGGAACGAGTGGAAGGGAGAGGACTGTGGCTGATGATGACTGGAGAGAAATCATGAGTAGGGGGCCGGAAGGGGTGTTTGAGAGTCCAGAACTTGGGATGCCTCCAGGAAGGCCACAAGGTAAAGTTGAGAAGAGCCCTGGGCTTTGAGTGAGGGCCAGGTTGGAGGAGGAGTGTGGGTGTGGTGTGGGCAGGGCTAGAGCCAAAGGGTCACCCTGCCTCACCCTGCCCTGGCCTGAGCTGGCCCAGCCCAGGGTGTGGGTAGCCTGCCCCCCTCTTCTCTGGGCCAGCGGGCAGGCCTCATGCGTGCCGGGGGCTCCAGCCCAGGCAGGCTGGCGAGATGAAAGGAAAAACATGCGGTTTGGTGGGCTGGACATGGAAAAACAAGCCAATTAGGAGGAAAACAAACAAACTTCGGGCCAGCAGGGGCACACACACACGCGCGCGCACACACACACACACACACACACACACACACACACACACACACACACGGCCCCACATGGGACTCCCTGACACAGTCACTTAGGCATCTCAGGAACCCCTACCAGGAGAAACTTAGGATGCCTGGGCATCTAAGAACATGCCTGTCTGCCCAGAGAGTGCTCTTGTGATATGAACGTGTACAAGCTTTTGCTTCCATGCTCCCTCTAACATCCTCTCACAGGGCGAGACTGTCCAGCTCCAGTGTGTGGACATGCTGGGAATTTAGAGCATCTTCCCACACCCAGTTTGAAAAACATGCTCAGGTTTAAGCTCCATCAAATACGCAGTGTCTCATGTGCAGTATAGCACATCACCAGTCACTGAGGACAATCTGCAGCTGAACAACTTCACCCCAAGCTACACAAAACAGCCATTCAGTGTCTTCCAGTTGCATGGCTGCTCAGAGTCTGGCCCATGAAGTCTCTCAGAGATGTACATAGTGCTGCACAAGCACAATGCCTTAAAAACAACCTCCCCCCCCCCCCCCCCCCGACACACAACTCACAACCATGCTCACCACAGGCTTCCTGATCTCCACTGTCCTGCACTCTCACAGCACCCCCATCTCCACCCACCCGGCCCCTCAGCTGGGCTCCAGCTGCAGCAAGTCACTCCTTTTCTTCCTTTGCTTTGTTTTTCTTTCCTCCTTTTCCCTCTGAGAAACCTGGTCCCTGTCAGGAAACCCAAGCCCTTCCCTGCTTAGGGCCCAGGGCCAGGCAGGAGTAGCCAGATGACAGACAAAGCCCCATCTCCCACCCCCCCCACCCCCTGTGACCTGCCCAGTGAGAGAGGGGAACTGGTTTGAGGGGGGAGGTTAAAGAGGAGACTAGTCTGAAGGGGAGGAGGGTCAGAGAAGAGTGGAGGAGACTGGTCAGTGGGGAAGCCAGCCGGGAAGGGGGCCTGTGAGTCCAGTGCCATGGCCTGCTCTGCCCTCCAGAGTCCCAGGCGGGCAGCAGGGAGCTGACTCTGCAGTTTCACCCCCTCCCCCAGCGCCCTTCTCCTTTGAAGTGGGGGCAAGGGGGGGGTGGCGGCAGGAGGGGGGAGTGAGGCTTCTCGGCCGACCTCGGAATGTCCTTTCCTCCTGGAGCAACTGCCAACTCTGGCTTGGCCCACAGGCCCCCAGAAGGCACTTCCTGTGTCCTTGGCCACCCCCCACCCCACCCCCAGGCAGAGCTTGATACTCGTGGGCAGATAGGGAAGGGAGACCAGCACAACACGAAGGCTTCCTAGGGAGACAGGCAGCAGTGGGAAGACTGCAGAGCGCCCTTGTGGGGTCTGAGCTGGTGCCTGGCTTTGCTCTGCAGGCTGGGGGAGTGGCTCCGCCTCTGCCCACAGCAATGCCATTCCACCTGCTCTCCACTGACGCACTCTTGATGCCTCTCTGCCCCTCATCTCTCATGCTGCAAAGCCAGATCTGGAGTCCAGGGGTTGTGGCCCAGTCTCCCCGACACACCCCAGCTTCATACATACAGGACACAGAGGATGTGTCCACACAACCACAGTCCCTCCATATCACGTGTCCCTCATGGATGGAAGCCCACAGTTCTCCGTGTGTCACCATGGCCACGCCACAAGCATAGACATGTACTCCTCTTCACCCTTCCTTGAGCTGCCCCCTCCCATTTCCTGTCCACCTGTCAGGCGGGGAGGGGGGGGCACAGAAGGGAGGTGTCAGTGTCCCTGGAGCCACAGACGGACATTCTTTGCCTGGGTCAGATCACAGGAGCAGCCTCCTTCCAGGAACTTGAGCTGCCTGTCCTCACGCCTTGCCCAATGCCTGAGGGCGGGACAGCTGAGCCAAGTGCTCACAGCAGCAAAAAGTGTGGTTAGACAGCAGAAAGGACTTCCTAAGTAGGTTGGTAACTGTGGCTTGCTGTGTGAGTCTAAGCAGATCCCTCCCCTTCTCTGGGCTGTCTTATTCCAGAGTGAAAGCAGCTGCTGGCCATGTCATGGGCTTCTTAGGGGATTTGTGGTGGAGGAGGGGGAGGAACACCCCAAGGAAACAGCAGCTTCCTTCCAACAGGCGCTTATGCACACGTGTGCACATACATACACACAATCATACGCTGACATGCCCTTCGAGAGCTACACTCATGCACACACAAATCACGAATGCTCCTCTCTGCCACCAATCACTTGTTCATGTAGACATGCACGAAACAGGCATCTAGATACACGTGCGAAACAGGCATCTAGATACACGTGCACATGACCAGCCCCCAAGTGTTGCCACTCTGTGTAGCCACCAGACCCATCCTGATGTCTCTGACTGCACTGAGGGAAGGCCTGGGGTGATTTTTACCCAGAGAACATACCCAGTCAGCCCAGAAGTCAGAAGACCCATTCGAGACCTGAGAGTGGACATAGTGTGGCAGGGGCTGTGGGCTAGGACGGATTCCCCCCGACATCACCTCCATCCTGTGATTGATGAGCTGAGGCCCACAGTCCCCTGTTCCCCACAGTTCCTGCCTTCATTGAGCAGGTGGGGGGGTGCTCCTCCACAGGCCCTTGTTTTTCTTTAATTAAACATCTGGCTCTCTGTGGCCTGGGAAGCCTCAGACCTTCGCTGACAGCCCTCACCCCCCACCTTTGGCATCGATAATGGGTTGAGGCGGGGAGAGCTGGGGCTTTGGGGCCCACCTGTCCCCACACGAGTGCAGAGGACCAGAGGCTCCAAGAATGCCCTGACCTTGCTGTCTTCATCTTCAGTGCCACCGCGGGAACCTGTGCTCAGCTGCCGCTCCAACACTTACCCTAAGGGCTTCTACTGCAGCTGGCATTTGCCCACCCCCACCTACATCCCCAACATCTTCAATGTGACTGTACTGTGAGTAGCAGCACCTGTGACCAGTTCCAACCCTGACCTTTGACCTCCCCAGCTCCCCATCATGCCCTGCCTGAGTCCTGACTCAAGTCCAGCTTTTGGCTTGACCTTTCCCCAGCCTGTCCCGTCCTATCTGATCCTTGAGTTGGTAATAATGCCTGGCCCTTATTCCTTCCCAGGCATGGCTCCAAAAGTATGGTGTGTGAGAAGGACCCAGCCCTGAAGAACCGTTGTCACATCAGATACATGCACCTGTTCTCCACCATCAAGTACAAGGTCTCCATAAGTGTCAGCAATGCCCTGGGTCACAACGCCACGGCTATCACCTTTGACGAGTTCACCATTGGTGCGTGTAGTAGAGAAGGGGGGGGGGCATTGTATTGAGTATCCCTACTGCACCTTCCACTGGGAGTATATAAGTGGAAATTTGTCAGAGGTGTACATGAGCACGGGTGGGGATATTCACATGTATGCCATATATATATATATATATATATATATATATATATATATATATATATATATATATATATAAAACAGACATGCCTGCACACTGGTTTATGTGGTTTGTATATACATGTACACACATGTGTAACACGCACCTGTGACCGTGTAAGTGAATGTTACTAGCAGCTCTTTCTGTCATCTCTGTGGATCCCAGAGCATACTATAAGGTGGGGGGGCAGGTTGGGCCAGACCCTTGCACAGCTGCAGCCTCCCCCCTAACCCATGCTAATAGCTTCCTTACGGCCTGTGATGAATGAGGTGTCAGAACAGGAGACATGACTGGGACAGATACGGATCTCTCCCTGAACACCCCCCTTTCCCCATCCCAGCCAGACCTTCTGCTTGCCTTTGCCCTATTCCAGGAAGGCTCTGCTTGCTCCTACCTCATCCCAGGCCAGATCCTGTGCCATCTTTCCCATCCCAGCCAGGCCCTCTCCTGGTCTCTGCACTCTTCCAGATAGAGTTCTGCCTTCCTCAGTTCTACCTTCATCAGAAGCCCAGCCTGGCCATTGTCTCCCCAGACTCCATAGTTAGATCCCCACCCAGACTATTGCTATATGAACTGGACCTTTAGATGCTCTCATCCAATACCTAGCATCCTTTAGCTAAGAACTGCAACAACTGTGGACTGTCTTAAACCCAGACTTCCAAAGGAGGTCAAGTATTGATAGCCGGCGACCTTGGCTATAGTGACCATCATTAGTGATGATGGACATGGCAGAGGAAGGAAGGTGATGTTTTGGTTTTTTTTTTTAAAGTTGTGATTGTTGCCAGGAGCCAGTGGCTCACGCCTGTGTTATCCTAGCTACTCAGGAGGCTGAGATCTGAGGATGGCAGTTCGAAGTCAGCTCAGGCAGAAAAATCCAACCTCCAATTAACCACCAGAAAACAGGAAGTGGCACTGTGTCTCAAAGTGGTGAGCTAACTAGCCTTGACAAAGCTCAGGGAAAAGTGCCCAGGCCCTGAGTAACAAGCCCCAAGACCAACAAAAAAGTAAAAATAAATGAATACATACATTGTGATTGTCAGAACTAACAACAGAGAAGGATAGTGGCCATGATGATGACAATGGTTGGCAATAGAACAGATCAACATGGTGGTTGGGGTTGACAATCTGAACTTGTTTTCAGAGATTAGTGCATTAAGAATCTGTATCTCCTGAACAGTGAAGCCCGATCCTCCAGAAAATGTGGTAGCCCGGCCAGTGCCCAGCAATCCTCGCCGTCTGGAGGTGACATGGCAGACTCCCTCAACCTGGCCTGATCCTGAATCCTTTCCTCTCAAATTTTTTCTGCGCTACCGGCCCCTCATCCTGGACCAATGGCAGCATGTGAGTGCCTTGCCCTGCCCTGCCCCTCCCAGATCCTGGGTATCTGAATCAGATGCAGAAGGAATACCCATGCCCCAAGTGGTAGCATTCTAGTGTGGGACCCAGTGAAAGGGACCAGGTGGGCCTGGGAAAACAGATAGTGCCAAGGGAGGTACCCTTACGGAATCTCAGCGAACTATGTTAATACAATAGGAACATATCCGGCTTTATGGCACCCCAACGTAGTGAACAATATTTACCTCTCTTTACCTGTCAGCCCTGACCAAACATTTTTCTTTATACTCTGGCCCAGCATCTGGATGTGCTGAGTCCTAGCAGGCAAGACTGTCTCTGTCCTCAAGAGCCCACAGATGAGCCCAAGGGGGTAGGAGCAGGCATTGGATTCAAGCTTGATCTGGGGAATGAACTCAAGCCATGATTATCATCCAGGCTCCAATGGCAGAACTAGCTTAGAGATCAACTGAAGGTTATAAGTCAGGTGGTGGCCTGGGCAGGGAAACCAACAGTGGACCATCAGTCTGGAGTCAAGCTAGAAGAGCTCTGGAGAGCAGCTAGAGGCTTTTGGCATAATTAAGGTACTCTCATATTGAGAATCCAAGGCCTATCAGGCTGTGGGTATTCTGTGTGGGTCACGAAGAATGAGCTAGGATTATGGTTGTAAGGGTGCTTCATGAGGCAAGCTAGGCTGCCTCCTGGGGTTCAACTTGTACCCCCACTACATTCACCAGGCTCCAGTCTCCTTATCCTCATCTTCTTATGTCCCCCCACTCCTGGTCTGGCCTTTAAAGTGAGTAATTTGATTCCTGGGTGCCTGTCCAGGTTATGGGCCTGGCCCCTACAAAGGCTGCTCACACGCTCATGTGTTCCTTTACAGAGTCCGGAGTCCCTCCCGCCTGGCCAGCTGCCCACGCCTAATGCATCGCTAATAACCAGGGTCTAGTTTCACAAGCCCCCCTCCCCCGCTAACGAGCTACAGGCAGCAGTCCTGCGCGTTGCAGCGCACACGCCTTGCAGTGGACCTGGCACACTGCCCACCACACACACACACACACACACACACACATACACAGGAACATGCACACACACACACAGCTCCCAGCAGGAACCATGTTCCATTCATGCATGGGATTGACATGCCAAGACCATGCGCTGGCCTGTACTGTGCAAAACTGACCCCCACACCGACATGTGGCAAGAACATGTGTGGTCTAAGGCACATCCTAGCCCTGTTCCATGTCACACTGCTATTGGCATTGGTTTGATTTATGTCTCTTTTCAACCCAAGTTTTGCTGTGAACAGAATCTATTCTCTTCTATCCTTGATCTTGGAGAGAGAAAGGTGTATGATTGAGAAGAGGGAGCAAGAAAAACATCACTTAGAATTTTATGAGGAAAATATAGACCAGTGTTTGCAAAAAAAATGATTATAATAATAATTGCAACTACAAGCCAGGATTTGCTCACATCTGTAATCCTAGCTACTCAGGAGGCTGAGATCTGAGGATTGTAGTTTAAACAAGACAACCATGACACTCTTTTTTTTTTTTTTTTTTAAACCAGGGCTGAGAGCCGAACCCATGGCCTTGGGCGCGCCAGGCGGGCGCCCTTCCGCTGGGCTAAACCCCCAGCCCCCAACCATGACACTCTTATGTCCAGTTAACTACCAAAAAGCTGGAAGTAGAGTGTGGCTCAAGTGGTAAAGTACTAGCCTTGAGTAAAAAGGTCAAGGACAGTGCCAAGGCCCTGGGTTCAAGCTCCAGAATGGTGAGCATGCATGCACACATGCACATGCATAAACACACACACACACACACACACACACACACACACAACCAGTAGGGCTGGCAGTGGCTGTCCCGCATGGACAAGGGTGAAGCAAGTACTGGGACCCAGTGTGAGTTCCTTGCATCACCTGCTCTGGCCCTAACTCAGCCAAGAGGCCTGGTGGAGTATGTCTGATATTTGCTGCAGCTGACTAGGTGGAGGATTCCAAGGTGAGGTGGGTGGCAGTGACTAAGTTCCTGCCAATTGAGGAGCCTTTCTCTTAAGGGATCAGATTAAAGGATCAGTGACAACTTAGCAAGAAGGGTCTGGTCTAGCAGTTGTAACTGCCAGATCATTGGCTCCCTGGGTCATATTCCTAGATGCATGGTGCCATGAGCCCACCAATGAGGTAGCCACTTGAACTGCTCCCCCCACTTTATTTTTTTCTCAGTCTTTGAGGAAAAACAGATATAGAGGCCTACAGACAAAGAAGGAGGGAGAAAGGGCTCAGAGAGCTGAGACTAACCAGCCAGAGGGGTACTTTGCAGAGCAAAAAGAAATTGGTGGAGGGAAGAGATTGGACTAAACCCTCAGCTTCAGGAGACGAGAGTCTTTAGAGCCCACCTATCTCTCAGGGCTGGGAATAGGATTTACTGGACTAGAGCTTGGGCCCAAATGTCTCTCAGCATGACCCTGCCCTTTACTAGAGCCTCCTACATCAGAAGCACAGACTCAGCTGGAGCTGGGGGGAGAAGGAGGACTTTCTGCTCTGCTTGAACCCGAATGCACACATGTGGGCACATGTCCTCAGGGCCTGTCAGGTCAGGTAGCCCACACCCCAGTTTTCTGGGGGAAAGATTGGAACAGGGACCAAAAAAGCCCTAAAGCCAGACGTGGCCTACAGCGGGGGCCCCCTCCTCCGCCCCCACCGGCTGCCCCTGTTTACGAGGCGGCTTAATGAGGCAGCGGGTGCCGCTGAGATGAACCAGAGCCCAGCCTGGGCCTGGGAGGGGCGCCGGACAGGCAGGCCAGCCTGGAGGGGGGGGCAGCAGGATGGGGCCAGCCTTTGGGGTGGGATGATGATGCTTCCAGGAGGAAATGGAGCAGCTGTTCTGCCACCCCAGGGACTGCCTCCACCCCTTTCTGCCTTAGGCAGGGTGATGACCACGTGAAGGCCTCCTTGGGGGAGGTCCAGCTGGGGCCAGGAGGGTGGGTGTACCAGGCATCTGGGAATATGGGCTCTGTACTGGAATCTACGATGACAGTGCTTGCTTAATTCTGTTTGGTGCTTTCCCCATTGCTTAGTCCCTGTGGTCACCCTAAGAGGTAGATACTGTGGTTAATACCAATGCTAAGCCATGGAAGCCAAGTCGCTAGTGAATAAGGGAGGGAGCCAAAATTTCAACTTGGGTAGCCTAACACCAGTGTCAGTGCTCAGGACCTTCTCCTTGAGGAAAGGGGAGGGGAGAGGAGGAAGACACACCATCACCTTCCTTTCTCCATCCCTCTTCCCTAGGTACCTCTGGGTGAGGGCTGAGCTCAGGCCTCAGGGTGGGGCTTGCAGGATGGCTGGGGGTAGCTGGGACAACAGCAGCATCAGAGCTGCTGAGCAAAGTCTTCCTCTTTTCTCCTAGGGCATCCTAGTGTCCTTTGAGATTTCAATGCTCTCCTCCAGGACTGAAGTCCCTTGGGAGTATCCTGTTCAAGACGCTCTTACTTTCCCTTATAGATTTCCTCTCTTCGGGAGGTCTTATTCCCTCCAGGGGTGCCTTCCTTCCCCTCTCCCCAGAGGTGTCCTTGCTTCCTCTGGGGGTACCTCATTTCTCATCTGCAGAGATATCTTACCCCCCTCTTCCTCAATGCCATGATTTGGCTGCAGGTGGAGCTGTCGGACGGCACGGCCCACACCATCACGGATGCCTATGCTGGGAAGGAGTACATCATTCAGGTGGCTGCCAAGGACAATGAGATTGGGACATGGAGTGACTGGAGCGTGGCTGCTCATGCCACACCCTGGACCGAGGAACCACGACACCTCACCACTGAGGCCCAGACCCCGGGTGAGCCTACCCTTTGCCTCTGTTCCCTGTGCCCTCATGGCCTACCGTGTTGCCTGGTCCTCTCCTGCTCCCTCCAGCCTCCACCGGAGTGCAAGCCTCTGCTCTGTACTCAGAGCATCCACATTCCCATCTGTCTCTCTAATCCCTGCATTCCTGGTCCGTGTTACCTGGACATCCTTGGTAGGATTCCTAAGTTCCTGGGTGCATGGATTATCAGTGACCCTCAGGAAATGGGATCTGCCTGCCGGGAGAGGCAGGGAGCACTAGAGAAAGGAGACAGCCATCTGCAAGGGTAGGCAGCGCCAGTCTGATGTAGGAAGCAGGAACAATGTGCCTTATGAACTTCTAGATCTGCGTGGGCACCTTAGCCGTGTCCCTGCCCTAAGTTTCCTCCATGTTCCCCAGAGACCACGACCAGCACCACCAGCTCACTGGCACCCCCTCCCACCACGAAGATCTGTGACCCTGGGGAGCTGGGCAGCGGCGGAGGACCCTCAGTACCCTTCGTGATTGGTGTTCCTGTCATTCTGGCCCTGGCTGCCGCTGCTGCTCCTGCCAGCAGTCTCCTGATCTGGTAATGTTGAGCAGGGCTGAGAGGCAGGGAGAGTCTGAGGGGAACCTCCATCCCAGCCTTATCCCTCACAGCCCCCTACTCTGTCTTCCCAGAGCCCGGCGTCCCATGAGGACATGCCAGAGCACCTGCAGAGGAGCAGGAGGCCGGAGCTGAGCCTGCAAGACCCCGGTTTCTATTTTGCACACGGGCAGGAGAACCTTTTGCATTCTCTTCAGACACAATTTGTAGAGACCCCGGCAGGCCCGGGCCTGCCGTCCAGTCCCATACGTAGCCCCACCACACCAAGCCGGCCCTCCTCCCTCCCTCAGGGGAGAAGGACCATGCAGCTAACCCACCCACCAAAGACCCCCCCCCCTTTACCCTGGCCCCTCCCTTGGGCTGGATCCTCCAATGCCAGCGACTCCCAGGAGCCCTTGGGGGGGGGCCTGAGGGGAGCCCCTCACATCCAGTTTCTCCTCCTGCCCCAGCCTCCTGTCTGTCCCAGGGTCTCTGTTGCCACCATCAGATTATAAGCTCCTGACGCTGGGGGGGCCCAGCCATCCCCCTCCCCCCAGTGCCCATACTTTTCAGTCCCCCACCTCAGTCCCCTACCTGTTTTGTACAACTCTTCCCTGACCCTGTCCTACGCCCAGTATTTAATGCCCCCTGTCAGTCCCTCTAGTCTGACTCAATGGTAACTTGCTGTATTTGAATTTTTTATAGATGTATATACTGGGGTGGGAGGGGTGGGGGGGTTCTCATTAAACGTCATCATTTCATGAGTCCTTGGAGCAGAGCCACTTTACAGGGGTAATCTTCCAATGACCCTCCCCTGGAGGGTCTGGAGGAGGAAAGGGAAGATGGTTGAGGAAGATGGGAAAGCAGTAGAACAGTGTGCTCTACTACTTGAAGTCAGGCTTCCCTGGAGTACATAGCCAGAAACAAACGTGTGTGAAATGGGTCCTCATGGAGACTGATCCTACAGAGGGGTAGGGTTGCTAAAGTCCTCAGCTTTAGGCTCTTCCTTTCATGTGTCATCTCTAGAACTGCTTTCCAGGACTGTCCAGACAAAGATGGAAGATGATGGGAGGCCAGGCCTTATATGTAGGAACGGGGGGGTGGGGGGAGGGTGTGCATGCGTGCTTGTGCGCACGCACCCATGTGGGTGTGCAAGAGGGGAAAAACAGAGAGGAAGAGAAAGAGAAACATCTGGGACCAAGGGGCCAACAGGTTGGGCCTTGGGTTCAGCCAGACCATAAAGTCTCAGAGCAAAATGTTCTGGGGCTAGCCATTCAAGGAGGACACTTGAAGAAGGAGACTGCTTAGAGCATGACTAGGAGTTAGATTTATGTTTCATCCCCAAGTTATGGGATACAGGGTTGACCACTGGGTTTAGATGAGAGTTAAGACTCAACGTAGAGCCAGAGAGGATAAGACTTTGGTTACAGAGTGATCAGTCTTTTTTTTGTGAGTTGTGGGGCTTGAACTCTTGGCTTGGGCTCTGTCCCTCAGCTCTTCAGCTCAAGGCAAGCGCTCTACCACTTGAGCCACAGTGCCACTTCTGGTTTTCTGAGTAGTTTATTGGAGATAAGACTTTCACAGGATTTCCTGCCTGGGCTGGCTTTGAACAGTGTTCCTCACATCTCAGCCTCCTCAGTAGCTAGGGTTACAGGCGTGAGCCACCAGCCCAACTCAGAGTGGTCAATCTTTAGTCTAGTTCCATACCTTTATAATCCCTAAACTGGGGTCCAAAGTCCTCTGACTTCAGGTTTTCCTAGGCCTTCCAAAGGCCCAGGATTTCTCATAGAAGTCACCTCACTGAGATTTCTTAGTTGAGAGTGTTCTGGAACTAGTGCCAAGCTGGCAGACTCATTAACCTGGAGGTACAGGTAAGGAAGTGGACTCTAGCTCCTGGCTGCAGAGCCAGGCTTGGCCTTGCTGTTGGTGAGAAGTGGACTCAAAACCATGTGCACAGTTGGGCACCCTAGCTACTCAGGAGGCTGAGGTCTGAAGATCACAGTTCAAAGCCAGCCTGAGAAGGAAAGTCCATGAAACTCTTATCTCCAGTTAACCACCAGAAAACTGGAAGTGGAAATGTGGCTTGAAGTAGTTGAACACTAGCCTTTGGCAAAATTGCTTAGAGACAGGGCCTAGTTCCCCAGAGTTCAAGCCCCATGACTGACAAAAAACAAAAACAAAAACCCATGTGCAAACTGACCTGTCCACAGATAAGTCCATCCTAACACACAGACCTCGCAGTAGGTTATAAGCACTATATAATCCCTAACACCATCACAATCCCACCCCAATTCAAACTCTTCTCCTTAGATCAGGTGTAGAAGCTGGACACTCCTTCTGCCTTGCCAGGCCAACCTGGGCTCCTGAGAGTCAGTTTGGATGCTGCATGCCCAGGGTATGCTGCCGCAGCCAGGCCAGAGTAGAAAGGGTATTCTGGATGGGAGACATAGGAAGCAAAGGCCTGGCATCTAGGAGACCTGCAACCTTTTCAAGCTGAACAGCCCCAGTGGCGGGAGCACATGGCTCCTCATTCCCAGGAAGAAGATCCCAGGATGGACATCCTGAGAAGTGGCTGTGGGCCTTTCCTTGTGCCCAGAATTCCCAATTTTTCCTGTCTGTTTAGACCCTGTGAGATATGGCTCAGGCAAGAACCTGACTCCAGGGCCCAGCAGGGGAGAGAGAGCCAAAGACCGAGGCTCTTGCAAAAGCCATGATTCCTAGGATATATTAGCTTCCAGCCTTGTCTATGCTTAGGATGGATGAGCTGAAGTTACAAGATCTCTGGCCTGCACTGTCTCTCCCTTGAGAGCCTTGGTCAGCCTTGACCCACTCACCGCCCACCCAGGGCTTGGGCATCAGCAATCTGGCCTCCATTAGCAACATGGGAAAGCAATTATGTGGGGCTAGGAGAGGAGGGGGGCCTACTGGAGCCTTGGAGACTGATGGAGGAGACAACTGGGGTATTTCCCTGCCCCCAACCCTTTCCCGAACTCTGCTGGCTGCAGCATTGCCCGTGGAGTGGGCCTGGGGGTGACTATTCCTCCTTGCAGGTCCTGGTCCCTTCTCACAGAGATGACCCTGGAGGGTCTTGGCTGCTGTCTGCTGCTGCTTCCTTTGAGTATATTGTCCCTCCACATTCTAGTTCCAGGGAGCATGGAAGGGTTGGATCCTAGAACCAATATGCACAATGGCCCAGTGACCCAACCTCCAGCCCACTAGCTCTATTCACTCCTCCAAGGGAAGATGGGAACACAAGACATGTCTTATTCTATCAGCTCCCCTGGCCACGTGATTTCTACTTTCAGGGTAGCTCAGTCCCATTCTTACAACTCCAAACCCCCTACATCCCTCTTTCTTTCTTGTTGAACCTATTCCCCCATCTCTTTCTGTTTCATCCCTGTCTCTAAGTATGTCTTTGTTCTGGTTTCTTCCTTTGTATTAAAAAAAAAATTCCATCTTTGTCTCTCTGTTTGTCTCAATCTTTAGTCTCTTTTCCAGTCTCCTCTATCTTTTCTATCTTGTGTCTCCACCCTTATCTTTTACTCTCTCTTCTTAGCCTCTATCTTCCCTTTTTCTGACTTGCTCCTTATCTCTCAGTGTGTCTGCATCCCTATCTTCATGTCTTTTTGTGTCTCCATGATGCTCTCCATTCCCATTTCTATGTGTGTTTCTCTCTATCTCCATCTTTCTACACGTATCTTCATCCCCATCTCTGTTCCTCTCTCTCTGCATGTATCTTCACCACCCTTTCCATCTCTGTCTCATCCCTTCTTCCTTGACTCTGCCATGTCTTCTTTTTTTGCTTCCTTATACAAGTTTCAGCCTTAGTCCAGACCCCAGTCTGTGGCCTCTGCTCCTCTCTGGCCTGAGCCAAGGGCAGTCCTGGATTCTGCTGCCCCCTCTCGGCCACCTGCCTGCCCTTCATTCTTGCTCCAAGGCTGATGGCTATCAGCAGAGAATACCCTATCAGTGTTCCCAAGCAGCCAGCCAGGAGAGAGGGAGCCACTAGGTGAGACTCCTTTCTGGGCAGCCACAGCCCTGAATACACCATGTATGGAGCTCTCTACCTCTGTAAGTTGGAACTCAGAAGATTTATTCCTACATGTAAAAAAGAGTGTTTGACTCAAAATCTTAGCTATATGGCTTTTTGTCCTGGGTCCCACATGTCTTTATACCTCAGGCCCAGAACTACTGACCCTCAGAAGGAACCTATCAGGACACAAGAAGGAGTGCCCCCACTTCCCTCTCCCCAGAGGAGGGGGAAGAACAATAAGGACCGTTATCTAACAGTGTTAGGGAAGGTGATAGGGAAGGCAAATCTGGAGGTGAATGAGTCTAAGAGGACTCTGTGGAGGGTCAGTCTGAGGGTGCTGGTCTGGGGCATGCATGCTTTGCCAAGGATCTTATTTGAAAAGAACAGTCTGAAGGGGACTCATCTGAAGGCACCTGTGTATAACAAATAAGATCTCCAGCTGGTCCTTGTTTGCCCAGGACTAAATAACCCCAAGTCCTGGGAAACACTCTGTCCAAGGACATCTGGGACCATTGGTTATTTTGAGATGGCCTTGCTGACCGTACCAGTCTGAATGGGCAGGCTGGTCTGGAGGATGTCTGAGGGAAGCTAGTCTCGGGTCACTTTGAGGGAGAGACTCTTCTAGGCCAGAAGCTTCTTTGGTCAGAGACTAGATCAAGAAAAAAAAGGGGGGGGGGGGCATAGAGGCCTTCCTGAAGGGCACTGGCTTGGGGAGTGGCCACCAGGGGGCAGGGCAGGTTCTCAAGAGATTCAAAGGCAATGGCCCCAGAGAAGAAGCCAAGACTCTGTGGGGCTGTGTTCAAGGGACATCCGCAACAGTTAGTGCCACCATACCATACCATTGCCTATAAGATGTAGTGCTGATGCGCAACCACGCACTGTGCGCTGAGGACCCACCTATGTCCCATTAGAGAGTGGTTTGTGACGGACAGTACTGACGGAGCCATGGCTGAAGCCTTCCTCTGGCTCTAGGAAAGACTTTGGGGTTCACCAAGACAAGAGAGGGATGAGAGTGGAGCAGCCCTGATGTTTCCCCAGAAAGGGCTGAGAATGGAAGAAATGGCACAGAGAGAGGATCGTGTACTCGCACCTGCCCTGACACACCCAGATTCCCTGGTGTTCCAGGTACTTAAGTGCTTTGGTCACACACAGAGCAGCCTCCGGGCCAGCCTGCATTGTACCTGCCCACCCACCTCGCCAGCTCCTCTGCTGCTGCTTCAGCGGGCACTCCTCCAGCCATTGTTCCAGTGTGCTCCTTCTCCCATGCTTGGTTAGTGCTTCTGCCCAAGACAATTTTGTGAAGCATCTGACTTCCTTCTAAGGCTGCCTCCAGGAAACACTCCCTGTTCATTCCTTTTTTATCACGGGCCAAACAGCCACCACGCTGAGGCTCACTTCTGCAGGCTCTTACCTCATTCCAGGGACCTGAAAGTGCTAGGAGCAAGGGCTTCCAGAATCTTCCCTAGAGGAAGGGATCTGAGGGAAGAGGAATGGATAAGTGTGGGATGGGACAGCAAAAGTGAAGACATCAAAGAACCTCCCTCTCCTCCAATGAAATGAACAGAAGCAAAGCTTTAAGTGCTACTACGAACTCACCAAGTCCAAAGAAATCTTCTTAACACCAACCCTTATACACTAAAAAAAAAAACACAAAGTAACAAAAGATTCAGGTATAATAAGTGAATGGTAAATGTCATATCCCA